GGGGGGGGGGGGGGGTTCCTTGTTTTTGTTTTCACACTAGACAGCTTTTAATTTTACAGTCGACATGAGCAGCTATGATGGTGGGCTAATCAGTGAACAGATGCGTTGTTGCCATGGGATACGAGAGACTTCCATAACTCTTCCCAGAAATTGATGAACATTTTATGGAGTTATCCCCTTTTTAAAAAAAAAAAAAAAAGGAATTATATAAAGTTTGTAAAAAAAATGTTTTTTAAAAATGAATAAATAATTCAATCGATCGAAATGACATTGATACAACAACACTACATTAACCACTGAACCACTGGGATTGTACAGTAATTTCATCACTGAATATACATATTTTAAAAATGCAGCTGATCGTAGCTATAACCATTGGGATGATCGCAATAAATTGAATAATTTTAAAAAGTCCCTTAAAACCCATCTGTTTAGGTCCGCCTATGACCTGTGATGCACCCTGCTAGTCCTGCCTCATTTTCTGTCTCGGGTTAATCCTGTAATATAGGCCAAAACGTGCCAAAGTGTCCTCGTTTTATAGCCATTTTAATTATTTCTATAGTATAGTAGTTACTATCCTAATGTCTCATTTTTTTTATTTTAGTTAGTTTACATGTTTTTAATAATTGTAAAGCGCTTAGAGCTTTAAGGTAAGCGCTATATAACAATGCCTAAATAAATAAATAAATAAAATAATGATAAGGGTGATGAGTGTTTAGCCGAACTTTAAAAACATTGCTAAAATTTGGTAAAATTGTAAACTAGAGGAGCTCCATACCCCTACACAAAGGACACGCCAGATGGGCAGGGCACGTCCGAGAAATGCCACACAGCAGACTTCCCAAACGACTACAGTTCGGTGACCTCCCTAGTGGGAAACGCTCAATTAATGGACAGGAAAAAAATAATCGTTTCAAGGACTATCTAAAAAGCTTCACTTAAATCCATGAACATTGTCCTTGATTCGTGAGAAACACGACTTGCTAAATGAACCGTGCAAGCTGGTGAGGTAGACTCACTGTCGGCGCCCACCCCCCTCCCCCCCCCCATGCTCAAAGAAAGTGCACGGCAGGAAAAGGCATAATCAACTCAAATCCAACTAGGAACCAAAACCAACGTAGGTGGCCCACGTGCGGAAAAGCTTTCCGGTCACAACTAGGGCTGGCAGACCACGTGCTTACTCGCCGTTTAATATAGGCATGGTTATCTGCGCATTCGAAGGATGAAATTTTTTTTTTTAAACATGTGTATGTTAATGTCCGGTCTTGTGTGAATTTCTTAATATTAATAAGACGCTTTGTTATTGACATTTGGTTGAGGAAAACGGAATTACATTTTAACCATTTCATTTCCTGAAAAGGGGGGAGGGGAGCTTTCGGGGGAAAGAGGTGAGAATTGGAGGTTGAAAGCCGGGCCTTATATTATTCCAAAGGGTTTTCAAGTTCACAATGATGACACTGACCAACACAAAATTTGGTGCCTCGCATATCTACATATATAATTCGCCAGCAAAGGTCAAACACCACCACCACGCAGGCTATATATAGATAACGAGTTCACTAGCGCGCAAAATATAATTCCCGATAACTACGCTAAATCATTTATATTTTTTTAATGACGCAAATTCGTTTGGTGCGTAATATTTTTTGATAAATGAAATCGTATCAATTTAAGTGTGGTGTAAAAAAAAAAAAAAAAAAAAATTAGTTTCAAAGTGCTTGGGACATCAGAATATTTAATATAGTTCATGGGCGTGAAAAAAAAAGTGTGCAGTGATGTATCATGGGGGTGGGGGTGTAGCGAAAATTGGAATTCATAAATGTGCGATACTTGAGTTCCTGTTTTGTCAAGTAACTTTAGTAGATGGCAAGTTCACACATTGCCGTCGCCAATGTTTGGCGGGCTATAACTAGTTAACTTTATGACTAGGTATGTTTGATCCGCTGATTCCAAAAAAATTGGCGCCAGTTTTCCGCCTATTAACTTAAGCTTGCGAGATATTAAACAAAATTGATACAGGGTATGTCATTTTAATGAGTATTTAAAGAAAAGGGAACTACATGAACAAGTGCTATGGACTACATGGGGGCTTTGTTTCTTTGCGATAAGTCCATAATATATATGCATTGCAAGCTTTCTTCAAAGAATTAAGTTACTGTTGATGGGGGCAGGCTTGGGTTCACCAAATCTCCATCCAACCAACACATTTCAATAATGACCACCACATTTCAATAATGACAACCACATTTCAAGCTGACCACCACATTTCAATAATGACCACCACATTTCAATAATGACCACCACATTTCAATAATGACCACCACTTTTCAATCTGACCACCACATTTCAATAATGACCACCACTTTTCAATCTGACAACCACATTTCAATAATGACCACCACTTTTCAATCTGACAACCACATTTCAATAATGACCACCACTTTTCAATCTGACCACCACATTTCAATAATGACCCCCACTTTTCAATCTGACCACCACATTTCAATAATGACCACCACTTTTCAATCTGACCACCACATTTCAATAATGACCACCACTTTTCAATCTGACCACCACATTTCAATAATGGCCACCACTTTTCAATCTGACCACCACATTTCAATAATGACCACCACTTTTCAATCTGACCACCACATTTCAATAATGACCACCACTTTTCAATAATGACCACCACTTTTCAATAATGACCACCACTTTTCAATCTGACCACCACATTCCCATCTAACCACCACATTTTCCTCTGACCACAACATTTTCCTCTGACCACCACATTCTCCTCTGACCACAACATTTTCCTCCGACCACCACATTCTCCTCTGACCATCACATTTCCCTCTGACCACCACATTTCCCTCTCTATAATCACCCGAAATAACGTTAACAACAAACCTAAAACTCAAAGTACGCTGTAAAAAAAAATATTTTTTTTTTAGTTATTGGCCTTTGGTATCAGTCAAGTATGTGCCATACAGAACATTAGTAGAAAAAATAAATATTTCTAATAAAGATTTTCTCGTGACTCTTGTCTGTTAATTATCTCTCTTTCCTCTCCCGTGGTTTTAAGTGTTGATTGCCATCGCTGCTGACGTTTCCGGCGTCTACGGGTATGAAGTCATGGACATTCTACTTTACCAGCATCCGACGCCGTGCTGGATTAGCAACAGGGTCAAGAATAAACTAGCCTGGTACTTGCTGACCGTGGAGGGCTGGGTCATGGCAGCTTTCGTCACAGTGTCCCTGGCCTACCTCTCGGTGACCTGGGCCATCATCAGACAGGTACGGGAACATTTTCTTTTTAAAAAAATCTTATGTTTAGTAACCTCGGATCTGAAGGTAATATCAAAGCAAGAAGGGGTCTCTAAAGACTTTCTATTATGTTCACCTGGATTGTGTGTTCGTGTGTGTCTGTGTTTGTGTGTGTCTATATTTGTGTGTGTCTGGGTTTGTGTGTGTCTTTGTGTGGGGAGCTGCAGAGGTGTGTGGGTGATTGGCATGTTGGTGGGTGGGTCGGTTGTGGATTAGGGATAAGGGGGGGGGGTTGCAGAAAAGAAAGAAAGAAAATGGGGTTATAATGTAAATTTCCTTTCAAATGAATGTGCAGGAATAATTCAAACAAGTTCTTCTCATCATTTATCACGTAAAAGGATATTATTCTACTTCATTAAACACTGATTTCAAAATTAAGTAAGATCTCTTTAAAAAAAAAATTATTATTTTCTTTCCTCTTATGTGATGTGTTGATTGATTTTTTTTTCTTTGTTCGCAGAGAAATAAAGGAAAAGTTGTAACTGGGGAAAACGTTATAGAGGAGCTGGCGTTACGAACAGCCAATCAGCAACTTCGCTTCATTCCGGTAATATACGTATGTACGAGAATTTGGGGTACAGGCTATTTTCTGTTTACACGGTACCCGGAAAACAGTCATCTCAGGGCTTCTGATTGGTTGCTGATCTTAAAGGTAATGGCAGCCAGTGTTTAAATAAGGGGAAACAATTCATTACAATGAAAATTTGCGACACTTTTATACATTACCCTTAAAATTATTTTTTTGTAATGCCAAACTTCTCCAGTTTACTTCGCCTTCAAGTAGTTATAAGAGAATCAATCCTCAGTATTGACAATGGCTATCTTTTATAAAAAAACAAAACTTTTTTTATAGTGAAATGTATTTGTTCAGCCGTTGGTCTGCCATCTCTGAACAGTTTTCTTGCTTTAATCTTTACTTGATCAATGTGTGATTCAGAAAATAGAAGACAACTCGAAAGACAAATACTTAAAAAAAAAAAAAAAAAAAAAAAAAAAAAAAAAAAAAAAAAAAAAAAAAAAAAAAAAAAGCTGATATCCTAATGACAGGGATATTATTTTCGCTCTCAGAACAACGAATATTACTTACATTAGCTCAGTATCACTTATTGCCAAGTAGGCCTATACAACACATGCAATGCGAGCGTAGGGTCTCTCATACTCATGCAAAAACCGGTAATTTTAATATCAGAAAAAAAATTCCCACGAAATCTTTCCATCCCGATAAATCCCGGCTAAAAACTTTAAGAAAATTAATTTTCTTGCTTTAAAATTTCAGCAAGTCACAGATTGTCACAAATTGTTGTTATAGACCAGGATATTTACCCAGTTGCGTCTATTCGCCCCTCCTGAGTGGTGGAAGCAAAAATTCCATGTCCTTACCCTGGACCTTGGTGCAGAGGCGTAGCGATGAGGGGCAGGGGGGGACAGATGTCCCAGGGCGCAAGCTAGTTAGGGGCGCCAAATTGTGCTTTTATATTATATTATTGGTAAAAATAATGGGTTTTAGAGTTGAAAAAAAGAAAAGGGGGTGCTTTAAAATGGATCTTGTCCCCGGGCGCCAAACACCCTCGCTACGCCACTGCCTTGGTCCATTCCGGCACTTGTGCATGGTATTAAATTCGAGAGTTCATTTAAGTACATTAGCCATACAAAAAGGAACAATTTAAAAATTGTTATAACATTGTTGACCATTCAATGAAGATATTACGGAACCCTGTTGACCCCCCCCCTCTATTTTTACTAATTGTTTTTAAGGGGTTTGGGTGTTGTTTTTTAAAACTATTGTATGGGATCACGTGAGGCGTGTTTTGGGGGGGGGGGTGTTTGATAAAGCTCCACTGTTAATCTTGTTAAAAATATTGTTATGGAACCCGACCCCCCCCCTCCCCCAAACACACACACTATTTATTTTTGGTAGTTGCAGCTGTTCGTTTAGCTCTAGAAAATAAATACGTCACAAATGACGTCATAAGCCCAATGGACTAAGTTAAGTCACGGCGCTAAATATTAGGCCCCCCTACTGTTGCGATAACTATCGGTTTATTTTTTGAAAACATGGAGCAAGAGTTATACAGTACAGTCCATATGAAAAAAAAATATTTGTGATGATATTTATAACAGTTATGAAAATAAAAAGAGATATTAGAGACTATCAGAATTTACAAATACTTACTGCAGCATTTGTGCATAAATTTAAATACACTCTCCCTGGTGCCACCCCCCCCCACCCGTGCCATACGACTCGTACGTAAAATCTCCGAACTCAACAACCTCGCTCCCCCCCCCCAAAAAACTCCGAACCCAACAACCCCGCGCCCCCCCCCCCCAACTAAGTGCATACGTGCTTTATGGATGGCAACTTATATTAAATTCAGATCAAAACTGATGTGATGAACTTGGTCCAGCGATACGACATTTTTTTTTTGTTTAAATGTACCCTTTGGGGGTTGGGCCCTTAAAAAGGCGTGGGGCCCCTTGACCATGTGTCTTAGTGTGCCTTTAATTTACTCCATCACTGTCTCTGGTTCAGTGCAACAGACCACTAAGCATTACTCTTAAAATGCATCATTCTTTCAGAAATCTGGAGTCTATGTCCTTTGTGCGGGGGAAAAAAAAATTTGAACAGCCTTGATAAAATCGCATTCCAACTAAAGCGATACTGAAAATGTGGCAGGAAGCTTCTTAACAACTTTTTAACACTGAAGGATAATGCAAAGAAATGTTATTTACAATGTTCCAAAAAATGTTTAAGTAAGATTTATTGAATTTCGGCTTATCATTTTAAAGTTGAATTATCTTCTCTACAACACAAGCCGCTTCAGTATTTCGACATGGAATTATCATCCTCGGATTTCAAGACAAGAAGATAATAAAATCGCTTACAACTATATATTTATATTGCATGTTCATATATACTTGCAGATAATCATCTTGTAGCAACTCTTCCTGTTCTAGTTCAAAATTGCGTAAAATTTGCTTTTTAGCACAAAGTTATAATTAAAATATTAATATTAATTTCGCATTTGTTCGAGGCTGGCTGGCAAAATCTTCGGACGGCTAATCGACCCACTTTCCGTTCAACCTTTCGAGCTGTACTTGGCACATAGACTCGTTGCCGGAGACAACATATTATTTCAAATTTTAAACCAAAAAAAAGGGGTTAAAGGAAAATGACAAAACGTGTTTTCCCCATGGTGACCATCTCTGGTCAGTTCATTGCCTGCATCCACCCATCCTTCCACTCAGACCATCCATCCATCCCTGTGACGGTACAGCCCAATGGAGGGCTTTGGCCTGCCTCACCACATCCTTCCACGCACCCACTTATGTAGACTAACTTTGGATTGTGGTGAGGTGCGGCAAGAGTATAAAAAAATGGAAAGAGATGTTGGAAGAAACATTGACCCTTCAGGAACACTGTCCATCCTCCGCCATCCCCCCCCCCCCAACAAAAAAAATAAAATAAATAACATAAATTGTTGGACTCCAGATATAATAGTAGCTGGTAAATGCAGAGAGTCCAAACTGTATCTGTGTGATCCTCACAGGAAGTAGACTTTAAAACCGTAAATAACAATACTAATAGATAGACCAAGTCATGCATTGTCTAATCCAGGTATCGGGTTGTAACTTGAATGAGTAATTGGTCTAAGTTATAGTCCATTTTGCACCAGCATTGATATCAAACGCGACTTCTGTCAATCACCGACTCACGTGACTTTGGTTTCGATCACTCTCAAGAAACTGGCCCATAGTATAGAATAACATAAATATGTCTTGTATTTCAGGCCTTCGGTGACAACAGTCAAGGCCTCGCCAACGCCATCTTCTTCTGCCTGGCCACCCAGCAGATCAGGTCCATCATGCACAAAAAACTCAAAACCTGCTGCGCGTGTTTCTCCGGCTGGTGTCGCCGGCACAAGATCATCGGCCCAGAGAGGTGGACCGCCGTCTCCTCCATCGTCAGGATGAGGAAAGGTCAGCTCCCGAACAGAAGATCCAGAAACTTGGATGAGAGTGATTTGGATTTGTCGGGAATCTCGCTGGAGCTCCCGCCACCGGGCGGGGATTGTGTGGACAATGGCAATGAGGATGACGTCATTTTTGAAAGATGAGGCTTTCGGACATGTTTTTTTTTTAAAAATCCGTTTTTAACAAAATATATCAGTAAGCTTATTCCTGGGAACCCGGAGCTTAACCTGAGTTGTATCTAAGTTGGGTAAAACTAGTAGAAGAGTAATTTTTTTTTTTTTTTTTTTTTTTTTGGGGGGGGGGGGGGTGTTAATAAAAAGTGTACCCATGTATGAGTACAGTACATGCACTATTTGTCATGTGTTTCAATGTTCCTTTTAGTTATATTTATCTATCATAATTTATTTATTTTTTTCTGTTATAAATGTATTTCTTGAGTCTTGTCTAAATGCAATTCATGAATTCAGACTAGACAACAAAAAAAAAGGGTGGTGTTTTTAATATAGATTTTAAAAATTTCAGTGTGACAAAAATGACTAGCCTCATTTGTCAGAATCTTTTTTTTAGGAGTGGTAAAAAGTCACACAACCTCTCCCGGAGAAATACAAGTGGGCAAATGGACATCTAAACGTCACCAGATGAATTATGTTGAAAAAAAAAAAAAAATTTGGTACAATGTGATTAAATTATTCAACCATCATGATGGCACACTGATGCCTTATCTGACACCTGGTGCGGAAAAAAATGAATAGCCTCATTTGTCAGAATCTTTTTTTTAGGAGTGGTAAAAAGTCACCAAACCTCTCCCGGAGAAATACAAGTGGGCAAATGGACATCTAAACGTCACCAGATGAATTATGTTGAAAAAAAAAAAAAAATTTGGTACAATGTGATTAAGTTATTCAACCATCATGATGGCACACTGATGCCTTATCTGACACCTGGTGCGGAAGTATCCACCTTGATGGCACATTGATGCCTTATCTGTCACCCCTGGTGTGGCAGCATCCATCAAGATGGCACACTGATGCCTTATCTGACACCTGGTGTGGAAGCAGCCATTCATGATTAGCACACTGATGCCTTATCTGTCACCTGGTGTGGAAGCATCCATCTTGATGGCACACTGATGCCCTCTCTGGCACCTGGTGTGGAAGCATCTATCTTGATTTTACCATTTAAGATTCTGATAAATATTAAATTAAACTAAACTAAAAGTTTGCCACTCATTTATTTTCATATTTTACCAGTTGATATTTGATCAATCTGGCACTGTTCTGTGCATATAAATAATCACTAAAGAATATTCTACATGTATATTCCTTACATTAAAAAATAATTCAATAACTTAATAAAACAGCACTTCACACCCATTTTGTTCCTTGTGTCAAAATGCCTTAAGATGAGAAACACATCAAGTGTTCATAGGCACAAACAAAATAAATTAAATCTAGAAATACAAGGGTTTTTTTTTTCCCAAAAAAATTAATTCTCATTCGGTATTTTACAAAATTAAATTCAACAACATTGACCAATTAAAAGAAATAATATTGCACTCTAAGTTGAGATCTTTAAAAATACTTATGCAACATCATTCATCATGCAATAAAAAAAAAAAGACAAAATTAATGAGCTTTAGTAATAGTTATCAGAATATTATTAATGACAAAACAAAATAAAATAAATCTAAAAATACAAGGGTTTTTTTTTTCCCAAAAAAATTAATTCTCATTCGGTATTTTACAAAATTAAATTCAACAACATTGACCAATTAAAAAAAATAATATTGCACTCTAAGTTGAGATCTTTAAAAATACTTATGCAACATCATTCATCATGCAATAAAAAAAAAAAAAGACAAAATTAATGAGCTTTAGTAATAGTTATCAGAATATTATTAATGACTTATTAATTAAAATTATTTCTCCTCTCTTCCACTGTCAGAGTTTCTCTGAGTGGTCTTAATTTGAAAAGAATATTTAATCAATTTTTCCCTTAGAAATGTCAATTTGTTTCCTTCCACTCAATATAAATTCAATATAAGAGTAGGTATAAGCTGAACAATAAACTGGTTCTGAGAAAATGTATCACCACTATTTTGGGAAATTCCTCCTCACAGCAAAGGACTACCATGTTCTACCATGTACACCAGTGTTTCTCAAATGGTGGTCCGCGGACCGGCGCCGGTCCGCCAGCCCTTACGTTGCGGGTCCACACAACATGAATATTCATGGTCGAATAAAAAGAAAATGTAATTAATAAACCTGGCCCCGGTCCCTGGTGCAATTTCAAAACGTGGCCACCGGTCCGCCAAACTTTAAAGTTTGGGAAACGCAGGTGTACACCACTCTTCCTGAAATTAACATGTCTTTCTTTTAAAAATTACAAAATACAATATGAAAAAAAAAAAAACACATATTGACTAGAGGGTGACAAAAATCAAATGCTGTTATATTTGCTGAGGTTGGGGCGGAAAATGTCATTCTCATCATCCACTCCATTGTGCTGCATCCTGTGTTTCAGCTCCAGTTTGCTGTAGAAATTCAGCACCGTCGGATCAGCTCTGACGCAGTTTTTGTTAAAGTCAACCACCTTCAGACCCTCCAGGCTCTTGGCCCTGGACAATGCGACATACGCTTGCCCGGTCTCAAAAACTCTTCCAAGTGATATCTCGACGCAGTCTAAGGTCATGCCCTGTGAATTAAATGATGTAACCAATTAAAATTGCAGATTTGCGTTTCTTTTAGTGCTACAGATTGAATTTTTTTTAATATTGTCTTACACAGAAGTAACATTAATATATGGTAATACTAAAAGAAAGTGATTTAATTATTGAACTTTTCTTTCTTTACTGGTGTCTTCCTCATTGGGAATATGATTATAGAACCATAACAATTTATTTTTAAAACTTAAAGATGCTTTCACAAGAAACAATAATTATTTCCAATTTAAAAAAAATAATCTCTGTTATGGTCTTGTATTTAATTTTAAATTTTTTCATGACATGACCTTAGATGACATTTGATTATACACAATGACAAAATATTTTACATATATTATTACATATAGAGGGTGGTCCAGAAAAAGTGAGAACATCTCGTAACAAAGGGTTCCATAATTGAACTAACATAACATTTTGTCATGGACAGATGTATGAAAATTATTACACTAATCAGAAAAAATGCTCAATCTGCCCCCCCCCCCCCAACTCTCCCTGCTTCTCAATGACTTTTTTGTAAGTGCTGGCGCCTCTTTTATGCTTATGACAATAAAGCAAAGTTATCACATTTTTTGGGCCACCTTGTATGTATATATATATATATTTATGTTCTTAGAAAATAATAATAAAACCACATAAATTGAGATATCCTCTTGGTCAACAGATATTTTATAACTGGTAAATTGATGTTTTATAATGCCAAATTACCTGACTCTTATGTATAGATATTGCCCAGGCCAGTTTGAGAGGTATCTGACGTCTGATCAGCATGTTGCCACCACCAATCCTAAAGACCCATCTGATAGGCTTCATGACTTCTGTGATGCCACAAGCAAACTTGATTATTGGGTAGCCTGGAGACAAAAAAAATGGAAATGTGAGCTCTCTCAATTAAAATATTATTGGTCAGCATTTGTTTGATCTGAGTAAAATATGTATTTAATTAAGTTGTTGGTTTGTTTGTTCTGGGTAACAAAAATGCTAGAATTTTAATACATAATTTTTTTTAAATGTTTGGTTTAAATAAATCTGATTGCAACTCATTTTTTAAAATGACAGTTACTTAAAATAGCCTTACTTTTTTTTTATTTTGAAGACTAAAGTAAATTTCAAAAACATTTAATTTGAATAGAAAATTAATAATTTTATTAAATATGGGTAATATTAAAATAAATTTAGGTATGATTGGTAGGGCCATGTGGAAAAAAAAAAGGGGGGGGGGGGGGTGAGGGGGCAAAGGCTTAGGAGACCAACATGGGGGAAGGGGCAAAACAAATTTTTTTTTAGATAGAACCTTTATAGTGAATTAAACTATGAAAGACCATATACTTCAAAAAGACAATGAGTGCCAAAATGCTTTTCTTTACTGATCCGACCTGTGGCCACTTTTCCTCTGCAAGGCCCTGGCGATGGTCAGACACTACTGTAGGCTTGGCCTTAATGGTTGTTAGTTCATATATGATGGGACAAAGTCAAAAGCTCAAAAATATCAGTGTGCCCACTACAAACACAATATGTGTATAACAAATTCATGTTTACCCAAAACATCCTTACCGTTATTTCCTGGCTCAAAAGATTTTACAACGCCACGTGCTCCATTGACAAGACCTCGCTGAAGGTCAAGATTTTTACACAACATCACCTTAAATGATACAAATAAAACATACATTTCTTTCAATCCACTCAGAGAACATAATGTAGTGTAATCGTGTTTCAAGCATATCTCCTATGCAGGAAATCCACCTTGAGAACTGGAGGCTTTCACCTACTTAGGAGACACAGTTGATATAAATGATGGATCAGAAGCTGATGTCAGGGCTAGAATTAGAAAGGTTAGGTCAGCATTTGTGCTATTAAAGAAAATATGGAAATCAAAGGAGCTGACTCTGCAAATTAAAAACTCAAAGTCAGAATTTTCAACACAAATGTCAAATCAGTCCGGCTCTGTGGAGCTGAAACTTGGAGAACAACAGTGAGCATCACGCAGGAAATGCAGACCTTCACAAACACTTGCCTTAGAAAGATCCTGAAATAGCAAATCATCAGCAACAAAGATTTAGTGGAAAGGATATACAAGGAGCCTAATGCTAAAGACATCATAAAAAAAATATGGAGGCGGATAAGGCACACTCTTCATAAACCCACAGATGACATCACATGACATTTTCATTTCAAAAATATAAGGATAGATTTGACATTTATTTATCCCTGAAAACTATCTGAGGCTGAAAACAAGATTCTAAATTTATTGAATTGGAGTTTTTTTTAAATCTATTTTTGAAAATAACATGACCACCAGTGGATGAGTTCCCGAGTCCCTGTCAGCTGCCTGTGTGGCAATCAATGATTGATGTGTTTCAGTACATTCTTTGACACTACACATTTTGTTTACCTGAGCTCCGATCTTCAGTTCTAGATTAGCTGGCACTGGACACAAAGTGTTGAGCTGCTGTCTGTAAGTCTCGTCAGGGTCTACAGCCGTGAACATTCGACTTTCACCTAAAGTTATAAGAATATACTAGAGAGTTGGTAGTGCTAAATAGCATTCCATATATTAATATCCTGGAATTTAAAAAAATATATATTTTTTTATATTTGGGCCATAGTTAATGCATTTCTGCATATTTTGAAACAGTGAAAGTAAAATAGCATCAAAATACCGGAACGAGTCATTTGAAATGGGGGGGGGGGGGGGGATAATTTTATGACCTTTTAATTTGAGAAGACTGTGCAAAAACACGGTCTTTTTGAAACCAATAAACAATCGCTGAACATTTAAAACAGGTTACATAAAATGTGTTGCTGCAAGGAGTAGAAGACATGTAGAAGACATGTAGAAGACATGTAGAAGACATGTAGAAGACATGTTGTGTACTTAAAGAAAATCCTACCAGCAAGTGCCTTGAGTTTGGATATGTTGATGTCTTCTACGTCCACTTTGTGAGTGCACAGCTGGGTGGCCAGGACACCATCTTTCTCTATTGACCTACGACCCGTGTCTAGAAGAATGCCAGCAACATGTTCTGGGCATCTAGAAAAATATTAATTTTATAAATAATTTCAATACCCAAAACATTTTTATTATAGAAAAAATATATTTAGTTACGCTTGAACTAAAAAAATTAGGTTACATTAAAAAAAAAATTTAATTTAAATTATTTACTTCTTTAAATTTACCTGTTCAAAATCCCTTTTTTTTTTTAAACTTTAAAAAAACTTAATTAATGAGAAGGAAAATTAGCTTGGATATTAATTAAAATTCTTTTATGTATTCAGTTTCCATTAAATATTTGTATCTGTGACTAAATTTCACACTTAGACTTGGCGGTTTTAAGAAACTGTTTTTAAATAATTGACCAAACGTACAATCCTTTTCTAATCTGTTGTAAGATATTGATGAAATGTTTGTCCGCTTGCCTCTTGACATCAGTGAGATGCATTGTGGTCTCCACACTCTTGTGCCAAGCTTCTGACTGTCGTGATACAAGAGCATGTGCCAATGACTCAACTTATACTTGGAACACATTTTTTTTTGAAGAACAGATTCTTAAGAAGTAAAAACTGTAACTTATAGTTATAAATATCAGCAATTTTTAGCCTCATTTCACGTAACATCATGGCCAATTCATTTTATGAAGGCACGCAACATCAAAGAGAAATCTGCAACTCATTTAATAAACAACTTGACTTTTTTTTGCAGATTTAATTTTGCCAAGTGTGATAAGCAATTTAACTACTGTAACTAGTTATTAAAAAAACTCCCCTACGTTTGAGGTACTGTGACGTTAGTGACACAAAGGTCTAGAAAATTTTAAAAATTACCTGGAAACAAAACTTCCTGGTCATACCAGGCTGTGTCACAGGAGGAAGTTGTAGAAAATCTCCGCACAAAATGAGCTGGATACCACCAAACGGTTGGTCTGACTTGCGGACTACCCTACAAGATTTATTTAGAAAATATTATTTTTTCTTTAAAGCTAAGTCATAAATGTTGGCATACATATGTTTCCAAAACATATCTCCACTTTAACACATTCAAGTTAATAATGACTCATCTAAATTTAAAAAAACATCGCTTTCTTGCGTTTAAAAAAAAAAATTATGTTTGAGTAGTCTCCATTAGCAAAAAAATGTAACTAACCTTAGTTTGAAACGGAACTTGAAAAATGTGAATCCACTGTATTTATTTATATGTTTTTTAAAATTTAAAAATAGAATTTGAAAAAGGACAAAATGGGAATCATTTAAGAGCCTATACAGATACTAATGAGTTACAATGAAAGACTGTGACTTGATTAAGTTACACAGCACAGTTAGTAGCTCCAATAAAACCTACCGTGCCACTGATTCCAGCTTGTCGAACAAATCCCCATCCACCATTGATATCTCATCAATGATGAGGTGCTTGCATGTTCTCCACTGTTGTGCGACTTTTGATCTGGAGGCCAGCTCTATACATTTGTCTAGTGAAGCCCTCCCGGCGCCTATACCTGAACAGATTAGAGTGTCATTCAGAATACATCAACAGAAGGAATATGAACCAATGCCTCATTTAGTCCATGATACAAGACTTCCATTCAACAAGGAAAAATTGCTTTATACATAAAAAACAATTGACTTATGCGGGTTGGGGAAACCAAGAGTCATTTACCATGGGGCCCATAGACATTCCCAACCACCCCCTCTTTGAGGTTCCATGCAAAAGGATGTATAAATTCCGACATGAAAAAATTTATTATTTTGTTATGTTTTCAGGTCCAAAGACTAACAGCACAGTAAAACACTTACCAGCAAACGCATGCAATGTCGTTCCACCTATATGACATGCAGCCACTCCAGTGCTTGCTGTGGCAAAGGTGTGATTGGGTGGCAGTGAGCCTGTTAGTTAGAAGGCAATCCATGGTGAAAATGAATTCATTAGCTATAATTTCAGATGATGTTCAAACTGACACCATGAATTCATTAGCTATGATTTCAGATCATGTTCAAACTGACACCATGAATTCATTAGCTATAATTTCAGATGATGTTCAAACTGACACCATGAATTCATTAGCTATGATCTCAGATCATGTTCAAACTGACACCATGAAGTCATTAGCTATGATTTCAGATGAATGACACCATATCTTTCAATTAAACAAAATAAAACTAGCAAACAATGTCTCACATTACTCAATAATAAAATTGTACTTTTTTTAATAAATGACTTTGATATACACTGATTCGTCTGTGATGAAATTACATATTTTTCTTACATTTTACAACTAATCAACAGAATAGCTTTTAAGTAATGAACAACTAGATATTACTGAGCTTAAAACCATGTAACTTCAAATTTCTAATTATTTTAAATAATGTATGGTAGTCATAAAGGATGAAATGAAACTCTACATACCCACAATTCGCTTCAGAAGGAATGATTTTCCTGTCCCTGCACTCCCTGTGAAAAAAATACTTTTACCCCGTAAGACGGCTTCCAGTACCCGGTTCTGCTCGGCCGTCAACTGAACTGGAGTGGCCAAAACTTTAGACGGGCTGACACCGTTGATTTTAGTCATTTTTAAAAGAGCAGTCTTAGCTGTCAGCAGTTTAAGTCTCTTGGCCTCATTTTCTAGGCTGTTTGGGCTGTTCTCCTGTAGAGAGGAGGATGGCCTCTTTCGACTGACTTGTCCGTTGCCCGCCAAGGATGAAGGTTTAGTTAAAGTGCCCGGCTTGACCGATCCCGCTGCAGATTTCGATCCGTGTGCCACTTGAAGATCTTTAATGGTGAGGGGTGAAATTTCTTCAAATTCGTGATGCTTTCCTGAGAACAGCTTTTGTCTTTGAGATAGAAAACCCTTTTGCTTGAGCACATCAAGCTTAGTCTGAAAGCAAAGGAAGAAATCAATCAAAAATATTTAATGGCCTCAAGTGCTAGCTAGAACCTTTATATAATTAATGTTTTAGTTCTAAGATTAAGCATTATCAAGTGTTTGAGAGATTTTAAAAGCAGCTGAATGCTGGTAATCAAAACTAAATTGATATAACTAAGTCTGAGTTAAGTTAAACAGGCTTGCAGAAGTTAAACATAAAAGAGATTGAAAAATAACAATAATCAATAAATTGTACACTCATTCATCCTGCAACTTAAATAATTCATGGTGATCTGTCACACTAAAATGTTTGAGAATCACTAGCCTAAATAACATACACAATCATAAGTGCATAATATAGTAGATATTTATTTATTTATTTATTTAGGCATTTTTATATAGCGCTTATCATAAAGCTCTAAGCGCTTTACAATTATTAAAACATGTAAACTAAGTAAATACAAATGAGACACTAGGATAGTAACTACTATTCTATAGAAACAATGAAAATGGCTATAAAAAGAGGACACTTTGACACTTCAGGATTAAACCGAAACAGAAAATTAGGTAGGGCAAGGAGGGTGCATCACAGGTCATAGGCGGACCTAAACAGATGAGTTTTAAGGGACTTTTTGAAAATGGACGAGGTTTCACTATGACGTATATGGAAGGGGAGCTGGTTCCAGAACGTGGGCCCATGGAAGCAGAAGGAGCGTTCACCGATGGTCTTAGTTTTAGTTCTTGGGATTGAGAGGGTTCTACTGTCAATGGAAGAACGTAGTTGTCTTGTGGGGATGTAAGGAAGCAACAGTTCAGAGAGATAGACAGGAAAGTGAGGGTCAGTGAACGAGTTGAAGCAAAGATTGGAAGACTTGTATTTGATGCGAGAGGATATTGGAAGCCAGTGGAGTTGCCGCATGTGTGGTTGAATGTGGTCATGTTTCTTTAATTTAAAAATGAGTCTGCATGCTGAGTTCTGTGCCTTCTGAAGTTTTTCTATGTGGTGTTGAGGAATGCCTGAGAGAAGAATGTTACAGTAGTCAAATTTTGAAAGAATGAGTGAAGAGACGAGAGTTTTTGTGGCATCAAAGGAGAGGAGGTGTCTAATGGTGCTGATTTTTCTAATTTCGTTATATGCTGATCTGCATATATTCGTGACATGTTTGTCCATGGAGAGGGTGTCCGTAAGCGTGACTCCAAGGTTTCTGGCAGAGGGAGAGAGTGTGATGTCAGAGTTGCCAATAGATATAGAAGAAGGAGCGAATGGAGGGAGAGGTTTGTTTTGAGAGTGGATGAGAAGGATTTCCGTTTTATCATCATTTAGCTTCAGTTTGTTGCAAGTCATCCAACGCTTTACATCGTCCACGCACTCCTGTATGCGAAGGATTGTGGCATCAAGTTGATATAAATAGTGAAAAACCAGGACTAAAAAACCGAACATTCCACGCTATGTGCTGAAACAATAATGGCACAACAAACATACACTAGTTAAGTAAGAGCTGAAAACCAGAATATACAGTAAGCTATTAGCTAATTTATGTTATCATGTTTAAACTTGAATTTGCTTTATTATATTGATTATTGAAAAGTAGCTTCATGTATAAGTTTACCTGCAATGTCTGTAGAAACAGAATTAGTTTATCGGGAGGGCAGTTGGATAACATGAGTTGAATCTTGTGATTCGGCAATTTTATTGTGGCCTTTCCATCCTTCACAAATTTTTTGTGAATTAAAAGTTCCTTCACTGAATACTTGCTCTCCTTTTTAGGGAATGTTATCTGTTGATAAAATAAGACAAACATGTTTCTGAAGTCAGAGTTTCTGTTGATAAAATTAGACAAACTAACATGTTACTGCAGTCGAAGTTAAAGTGGAATGACTAATGTTTAAAAAATACAATGTTTAAAGTTTCTATGAGATAGTTTTACTAAAGGACTAAGTGTCATCTCAGACTTTCAGGTTATGACGCCATTATCAACCAGTTTTCAAAAGTAGGTGCCCAATAATTTATTTCTACAATATTTAACTTGGCTTTTACTTTTAGGCCAAGGGCAACATTGTGACACAATTATAATTTGTATAAATCATAACTTTTTTTCACTGATCTAAAGGCCATTCTTCACATTTATTTTATGACAGAAACATCAAGTTCAAGATTCGTGCCCTCCAGGCAAATATACCTTAATCTGCATTTCTCTAAATTCATCCCTGCCTAAGGTAAGGGTCAAACTGCGATGATGAACTTTCTTCAAAACATTTCCAGTGTCTGACAATTCTTCTATGGATACAGAGCAGCTCAAACTGGGATTTTCCATGAGTATTTTCTGAACTGAACAAAAGATGTGCATAGTTTATATCTTCAAAAAATTATTTTAAATCAAAGATACACACATTGACTCCCAAAATAACAATGAAAAGAGTTACATAATATTTTTTTAAAAATTGTATTACTGAGCAGCGTAAGTAATTTTTCAGTAGTTATTTTGTTGAAAGAATTCAGTAGTTTTTAAAATATTTGATAATGCTTCATCATTTTTATGTGAAAAGTAAGATCTAGCTAAGAACTTCAGAGTGAGCACATAATTATTTCTTTTGTGGTTACTTTTGTACCAGCTAGTAGTCGATTACAAAATGGCCATTTTTATTCCAGTAGAGTGATGTCAGTGTCCTTAAAAACTGCAACACCGTCATCACAGCCACATTAAATCGTAACCTAAGGCTAAGCCAGTATATCTATATCCTTGTACAGCCCAATGCTGTTCCTCACGTAAATGAGGTTCAATATCATCTACCATTTCATTTATCATGTACTCTTCATTAACTTATCATGTAAATTCATACTAGTTTAATTTTGGCTCATTAAATAATTTTCATGATAAGCCCACCACTATTTTTTTCTTGAGACTGCCAGCTCATTTCCAACGCCAGTAGTAACACTTTGACTATGTCTCGTTATAAATAGATGTCACAACAAATTTTTCAATACAAACTTGAACATTAAAAGGCAATTGTCATAAACTACTGCATGATCTTTAATACACATAAAAAACGGATTATCTTATTCTCAATCGTAAGCCAAAAGAGGGGGAAAAAACCAATCCACACTAAATAAACTCAGCAAATTCAGTGAGTTCACACATTGTCACAAATGTGTGACCCCTCCCCCTTTTAGATGTGTGTCATCATTTATGGACAGCTCCTATGATTAAAGATAACTGATCACAAAAAACTAACATGGCATGACATAAGTCCCAATCATCATAACTTGTGGTTATAGACTGAGTGACATAGGCAGGGCCTATTTTTCAAAGTCAAAGGCAAGCAGGCAGGGCTGTAAATGAGTACCCTAAGCCCTTATTATGGCTTGCTTCAAATGCAGGAAAAGACCAAAGACGTAGCCACCAGTTCAGCACAGCTTGGACTCAATATAAATAAAAGCAAGACAAAAATCATGAAGGTAAACTTATCCAACCAAGAGCATATTCGTCTGGCAGGAAAGGCACAGGAAGAAGTGGAGTCCTTCAATTACTTAGGCAGCACCACAGACACAAATGGCAGATCCAATGCAGACTAAAGGGCCAGAATTGGAAAAGCTAGATCAGCATTTGTACTATTAAATAAAATATGGGAGTCAAAGGAGCTGAAGCTGCAAACCAAAGTCAGAATCTTTAATACTAATGTCAAAACTGTCCTACTATATGGTGCAGAAACTTGGAAAACAACAGTGAGCCTTATGCAGAAATTCATAAACACATGCCTTAGAAAGATCCTGAAAATCAAATGGCCAAATACTATCACCAACAAAGATCTACTAGAAAGGACATACCAGGTGACCCATCGATGAAGATATCATAAAGAAAAGATGGAGATGGATAGGTCATACGCTAAGAAAAATCCCCCCGTTAGCACGACCAGACAATGCCGAAAATGGAATCCACAGGGAAAAAGAAAGAGAGGAAGGCCTGAGACTAAGAATACATGGAGATGAGAGCTAGAGGCAGACACGCAAAATATGGGATACACCTGGAAGCAATGGGAAAGGAAAGAACAGGACCGTGATGAGTGGAAAATTCTTGTAGACGGCCTATTCCCCAGACGGGGTAGAAAGGCATAAGTAAGTAAGTATGATAATTGATTCATTTTCTAATCTTATTAATTATTAATAGTATTAATACATTTATTTTATTTGGCCAATCTTTCCTTAAATTTAAATTTAAAATAAAAAGGCCTAGGCCTAAGCTTACTTCAAAAAAATAATAGTTAATTAAATAGGCCTTTTTAGGTATAGTTTCTAGTTTGGCTAGTAGGCCTAGAGACTAAAGAAAGTAGAAAGAGGCAGAAATTAAAAATATTAATATATTTAATAAAAAAAATACTCTAAATTTAAATATGCATTGATACTTCTTTGCCGTTCCGTGATAAATAATAAATTAGCAAGAAGAACACATAACAGTAATGTACGTATAAATTATAAATGTAACTGCAAAATACGACTAAATAATATGAATCCTAAAATTCTACCGGATAGATTAAAGATGGGATAAGGTAAGTCCTAATGGTAGTCTTAATTTGGTAATGATGGTTGAATGAAATATAAATGTTCTTTCTTTATTTGAAAATGTATGCAAATTGTTTTGATAGGGTCCTTTTTTTACCGACATCCAAGATCCATGTGAGATAAATCCGAGATAAATCAGAAATATGTACATTTGGCAACATGCGGATAATTTAGTTTATGTCAATTCTAAATTAAATAAAAATCTACAAACCCCATTTTACTTTTTACTTCTTAAGGCTTACAATCTAAGTATATATAAATTCAATTTTAATATTCAATTTATTGCTGCTGAAAATAGACAAAAGCGAATATGAAACGAGTCCTTATAATAATATACCGTTTCGTTTCACCGCTACTTAATTAAAGACTTAATAATACTACTATTTAGTAGGCCCTTTTACACTGTGAACTATAGTAGTCAAGTCAAAATTACTATAAGTACTATACTATTGATTAATATATCTAATAAAAACTTTATGTGATAACAATATCAATTAGCAGTTAAAATGATTTCCAAAGAATTTTCATTTTTTATTTAATAATTTATTTTTAGATTTTAGTGTTTAATAACTTTTTCTTTTATAATATTGGGTCACAAAAATCAACTTCCAGTATGTACATAACCAATTACCAACAAATTAATAACTAATCACAAATATGTTGACCCCGATAACAATGTAATGGATGTTCTCTTCCAAATAATATAATCGTTATCTGATCCAGGAGAAAAAGGTGTTAATCTTTCACCACAATCCACAATGTTGCTGTAGTTTTTTTTTTTCACTTGATAAGTAAGAAATAATAAATGAAGAATAAACTAATAAATAAAAATACTCGTTCACACGTGGGTTGTTTTTTTGTTTTTTTTATTAATGAAAAAATGTGGATGATTTTGTTTTCTCTTGTGGCTTTGACAATTTACTGAAATTTAACATGAACCTCTATCAAGCTTTGTTTATAGCTCATATTTAAAAAGTGTGGATGATTGCAACACGTTACGCAAACATAGATGGGTTTAAAAGACCTGGAGATTCTTCCATGTGGCGTCTCAGAAGAGCACATGGCCAATATATCAGAATGTGGATAATGACTATGAGATATTCTGGACGAGCCATGATAATACAATGTTTGTTTTAATAAGTGGGGAGGGTCGGACGCTTGATCGTCCTGGACTCGAATATGGAGCAACTATGTGCGGACCCAAGGGGTAGTGTAGATGCGATCGCCAGCACACATGAAATAAAAAAATAACTTAATCTTTGTTGTTTTTGTCTTTTTTAACTAACCACGGGCAGTGGCGTAGCTAGGGTTGGCGTAGCTAGGGTTGGCGTAGCTAGGGTTCGCGTAGCTAGGGTTCGCGTAGCTAGGGTTCGCGTAGCTAGGGTTGGCGTAGCTAGGGTTGGCGTAGCTAGGGTTGGCGTAGCTAGGGTTGGCGTAGCTAGGGTTTGTGTCACCCCCCCCCCACCTCCTCCTCCCGATGATGTATTTCTTCTTGTTAAAAGAAGTCCACAGTATAACAATGAAAAGAACAAAAACACATTACTAAAAGGCCAGGGGGTCGATTTATTTAAGAATTGTAACAACGTTAAGTTATAGTTATAGTTACATTAAATTTACTTTATTTAAAAATTTTCATTTCTTGGTCTTCAAAGCTGCAAACCTGCCAATCACTTGATCAAAATCAATATCCTTCAACGCATCACTTTAAATTGATAGTAGAGCCAGATCAGAAAGCCTTGACTGTCCCTTGGTGAATCGTTAATTGTTCTCCTGCCACTCTCTTCTTCAACCTCAATCTTCTCTTTACTGAAATTCCATATTGGTCTGGTTTTAAAAGTGCATTTTCAATAGCATGTTCCACTAAGTGACAGCGCTTGTCGCGCAGAAACAATCTTAAGGCATCCAAGTTGGTCACCAGCCTTTAGTCTACTGTGTAAAAATTAACTTCCTAAAGCAGATCAGCCCAAACGTAAAGATAGCAGATAAAAATATGAAATCACAGACAGCATGTAAAAGACCTTGTCCCGAATGATAATCGGGCTAAAATGTTAAGGGGCGGTGCTAGCGACGAATCAGCGAAAATATTTAATTTTGCGTATTTCTAGGTTTCGATATATTTGGTTTCAAAAACCATTTTAAAAAAAACTTAGTTAAATTTAAATTGATTATTAAAATATATTAGAAAATTGTGTAAAATATTATTATGTTAACCCTTTAAATGGGTAAAAGTTCATTTTTTTAAATTTTTACCGCTTCAATTCATGTTCTTAGAATCCACGACTATATCTTTTTTAGTATAAATGGTAAACTTTTTTTTCCAGAATTTAGATAAATATATCATCCTGCCTTACGAAAGTTACCAAACACTTCAATCGGCGTTGAATCGTGGTCAAAGCGGTGTTTTTTTTTACCTAATTATAGGGTCAGCTCATTTCTGACGCATCAGCCATGAACTTTTAATAAAGCACGCATTTGGATTGGTTACATGTGTGGAGATTTTAAGTGTGATCGATGATTCTTTTATGAAATTCGGTTAGACCGAGCAGTGTGTGCTCTGTAAATGTGCAGTTTTTCAATTTGGTATCACCCCCCCCCCCCGAGATGGTGTCAACCGCGGTGCGGTCCACACCACCCGCTGTCCGTAGCTACGCCACTGCCTAGCTACACACTCACTGTTTATCATCCTCCACACAGCAAGCTTCTTTTCTTTTTTCCACGAAATTCACTAGCGTAAAGATCCTCTCACCAAACTCAAGGTAAAAGCCAGCCGCCTGAATTAACGTAATCCAACAACATGTTGAGTCAAGTAGTCATTTCAATAGTCGTCTTTTTAAATCGTTTATATTAACTTCGCTGTTGTTCGTGGGTGACCTGGAACTTGGCACACAGATTCGTTTCCGACGACAACACAGTCTCTCAAACTTCCAACCGCAGCTCGCAAATATCAGCTTTTACAGTTTTTCAAAGGGAAGATGACGGAAATATGATGCAACTGATTTCACGAAATAAAATACACGATAACTGCGCTAAATGAAATTATTTTTTTTTATTAAATATCACACGTGCGTTTGGTGAGTAATATTTTCTTTTGTTTTTCTAAAATTGTTGGTCAAATTAATCTGCAGTGTAAAAGTGGGAAGGACACTAGAGTATTAATATAAAATAAAATAATAAAAATGCATAAAAATGAATAGTACCAAAAACTTTGTCTTTAGGGGTTATTTATGTATACATGTAAGTGTGTCCATTGACAACCCAATCCACCACCCTCCCACTGGTGAGTGTGTGTCCAATTACAACACAATCCACCACCCTCCCACCGGTGAGTGTGTCCATTGACAACCCAATCCACCACCCTCCCACAGGTGAGTGTGTGTCCATTGACAACCCAATCCACCATCCTCCACCGGTGAGTGTAAGTGTGTCCATTGACAACCCAATCCACCACCCTCCCACCAGTGAGTGTGTGTCCATTGAGAACCCAATCCACCACCCTCCCACAGGTGAGTGTAAGTGTGTCCATTGACAACCCAATCCACCACCCTCCCACCGGTGACTGTAAGTGTGTCCATTGACAACCCAATCCACCACCCTCCCACCCGTGAGTTTAAGTGTGTCCATTGACAACCCAATCCACCACCCTCCACAGGTGAGTGTGTGTCCATTGACAACCCAATCCAACACCCTCCACCGCTGAGTGTAAATGTGTCTATTGACAACCCAACTCACCACTCTCCCACCAGACTCACACACAGGTAACTCTTGGGTTAGCACCACCCTCCCACAGGTGAGTGTAAGTGTGTCCATTGACAACCCAATCCACCACTCTCCCACCGGTGACTGTAAGTGTGTCCATTGACAACCCAATCCACCACCCTCCACAGGTGAGTGTGTGTCCATTGACAACCCAATCCAACACCCTCCACCGCTGAGTGTAAGTGTGTCTATTGACAACCCAATCCACCACTCTCCCACCAGTGAGTGTGTGTCCATTGAGAACCCAATCCACCACCCTCCTACCAGTGAGTGTATGTGTGTCCATTGACAACCCAATCCACCACCCTCCCACCAGTGAGTTTAAGTGTGTCCATTGACAACCCAATCCACCACCCTCCCACAGGTAAGTGTGTGTCCATTGAATACCCAATCCACCACCCTCCCACCGGTGAGTGTAAGTGTGTCCATTGACAACCCAATCCACCACCCTCCCACAAGTGAGTGTGTCCATTGACAACCCAATCCACCACCCTCCCACAGGTGAGGGTGTGTCCATTGACGACCCAATCCACCACCCTCCCACCAGTGAGGGTGTGTCCATTGACAACCCAATCCACCACCCTCCCACCAGTGAGTGTGTGTGTGTCCATTGACAACCCAATCCACCACCCTCCCACCAGTGAGGGTGTGTCCATTGACAACCCAATCCACCACCCTCCCACCAGTGAGGGTGTGTCCATTGACAACCCAATCCACCACCCTCCCACTTGTGAGTGTGTGTCCATTGACTACCCAATCCACAACCCTCCCACCGGTGAGTGTAAGTGTGTCCATTGACAACCCAATCCACCACCCTCCCACCAGTGAGTGTGTGTCCATTGACTACCCAATCCACAACCCTCCCATCGGTGAGTGTAAGTGTGTCCATTGACAACCCAACCTGGGCATTAATGCTGGTCTGAGTCGTCGTTAAACGAACGGAATGAAGTTTATGACCACGTCTCAACGTTTTTAGCTAGCGACGAGGTTTAAAGTACTTATCATTTATCCATGGGCGTCTCCATCCAATGAGAAAGCCTGGGGTCACTAAGCAAATACCCGATTATTAATTACTATTATTTTAGTTGAATACATAATTTGTGAGTAGTTTAAATTATTGAAAAAATATATATTTTTTTAAAATGGTGTTCTAAGTTTCAAACAAAATTAATTATAAACTGTTATCAATGTATACGATTGACAAACACAGCTGGACAATTGACCTGCTCAACAATGAACATTGCATAATAATAATAATAATAATAAAACTTTTGTTTTTGCTTGCCTGGGATTGTTTATTTTTAGGATTATAAGCTGGTTCCCACACAGCAAATCACCTCTCTCCACGCCGCTGGATAAC